CTTTTTGATTATTTGTAGACATATGTTAAATTTTAAGAAAAGGGGAGTGCAGTAAACAGACAATGCTCGTTTTTTTATTTTCAAATACCTGACATAATTCATTAGTGTTAACTAAATGTTCATTTAAGTTAAACATATTTTTGACTCTTATTATGAAATTGTTGCATTTTATCTGATGTGAAAGGAAAAACAACCACAACATGATATCGGCATTATATATTAGCCTCCCCATTCTGCACAGTCCACTGAAAAACCCATACCTGTCGACCGCTAGGTCCAACTACTGCCGACGTGCAACACGTGGCTCTCTTCCCACTCTACATTTACGTATACACAACAACAGAACCAAGTGCGACTCGAAGTGGAGGTTTTCAACTTGCACAAGTGGGTTAATGTTACTATATAACAGCGTCAAGTCCAGTGCGTCTCACCAGAGGGGTTTCAAAATATGGTGGGGGCGACGGTGCCCAGGTGGGCGGTACGATGCCGTACACTGGGTACTGCTGCTGGGGGTAGACATGCTGCATGTAGAGTGGAGAGCTGTACTGGGACTGGCTCTGGGACTGCTGAGCGTACAGGCTGCTGTCTATGCTACGGTAGGCATTCTTTTGCAAGAAATCCTTTATCCTCGCCTGACAGGAAGGAGGCATAAAATAGTAAGAACTTTAACAATGGCCCTTTCCAAAATGACAAAAGTGTTTAAATGTGACTCACCATGATGGGCTTTCCCTGAAATGTTTTTACTTCCTCTCTCAAGTACTTGTATGCCTAGAAGAGCATAAGAGAATGATAAGGCAACTCGCGATGCAACCTTTCAAACAGATACCGCGGACAATGAAAGAAAGTAATATTTAATCGACAGTACCTGTTGAGCATCTGTGTCTGATTGGAATGTGATGTACCAGTTGTTGTTGTGTGCAAACTCAACACTTATCACCTTTGGACAGTTGTCATTTTTGAACAGCGACTCCACTTCCTGTGAATTTGAAACAAAAGCCTCACACTTAAGATAAACAACAATTCAGTGATTCCAAACATACTGGCTGTTTGCTGAGTTGTCCTTACCTCAACAGGTGTGGTTTCAGGGACCTCCCTCAGGATGATAATGCACCGTTTGTGATTAGGACGCACTTTCTCCCCTTTCTCATCCACTTGTACCATGGGGGAGGCTGAGGAAAGTTCCAGGTATTTAAGATTTATCCACATCAGATGTATGCACATTGTTTTAACATGCACCATCCCTAAGGTTTCACTTACATCTCAACACATCCAAGATGAGGTCCATGTCAGTGGTGAGGACCTTGATGCCCTCCATGCTGGCTATAGTCCAAATAGGGACAAACTGGTCACTGTCCATCTGGGACATCAGGTACAAATCCTTTGAGAGGTTTTCTCTGAATCACAAAACAACAAATCCACATAGATTAGCTTTGTCTGGATCTGGAAAATAATCAGTTCACTTTCTAAATTCTGCCGTTTAAAAATGTGCTTTGAGTGCTTGCCTCTTACCTGGAGAAATAAAACTCCAGCTCTTTCTTCAGAGACTCTCGCAGATTCTCAGAAGAGATTGGCTGATCTTCTGTTTTGGAATCCACTGAGAAAGAGAAAAAGTGCCAGTGGAAACAAATTACCTTCCAGTAAGTAGTTATAATGCACATCATTTAAAGTATTATTTAACAAAAAGCAATAATGAGCCTTTAAAATCAAATTGATAATGCTTTTTGTGGCTCTATAAGCTGTAAATCTGTGGCTCCAAAGTCTAAGAAGATAACATCACCAGAGTCATAACAGCTTGGGCTCAAACGATGTGCAGATCTGTTGACTTTATCAGCCAGGGAAGGTCTTATGACAGATGCAGGGGAATGGCATTAGCAGTCTCTCCAGTGTTTTTTTGGAATTTGACTCTTTTATTAAAAGATCTTTTGGGAGAGGTGACAACTACTCTGAACAGGTCAACATAGGCTGAACATGTTTGCATAACCCCCAAGTAAAACACAAGGCTTTCACATGAGCATGGTAAATGAAATACAAATAACTGTGTATGTCAGGTGTGGCCAAACAGTTTGCCTGGCTGTGAGACACATTCTGCTTTGCAGACAATAAGGCTAAGCTGAACCATGATAATCTACATATGGATCAGTACTCTGCAATGAGATAATCAGTTGGCATGAAAAACCTGCAGACTGGTGCTGTAACGGACAGCATATGTGTGAGGCAGTACCCACAGAGCAATACTGTAGACTTTAGAGTTTAAGCTGATGAGCGGAGACAACTTCACATGATGTGACTGACCTGAGGTCCCTGAGGTGGACTCAGCAGGGGAAAAGCCCAATTCTGGAGGGTCCATTCCATTCACTGCTATCTCAGCTGTTGCTGTGGAGCTGCTGTCATCCAGGGCCGGGAATCCCACAGTGTACTGCTTGCACCCAGCAGACGATGGCTCAGAATAACCTATGAACAACATACAGAGTTCCATTCAGAACCAACAGCAAAAGGCCTAGTTATCAGGCCTGCTTCATCTTGTCCATTGTTTGCCTTATTATTATTATTATTATGCGTGTACATTAATAAAGTTTAGATGTATACAGATGTGGTCAAAAAAAGGGTTAAATAACAAAGTCAGAAATTAAGGCAAAACTATATTTAAATATGAATCTAAGAGTTATAGCTGCTGGTAAATTGACTAGTAAAAAGTCAATATTGGTATGGACAGACAAATGTCATAATGCCAGAAATACTGATTTTGCACTTTAAAACTCTAAAATGTAATACAATGAGTTGTGACTTTTAATTGGGCTGATGTGTGTGCATCTCACCCCCACTGATGTCTGACGGGGGCCAAAGAGGGCTGTTGGCAACAGTCTCACTTGGGGCCACAGGCATCTCCTGCCACACCTTGGCATTTGGGTTCAAACCTGCGCCCTTAGAGGTGACCTTCAAATCAGAAGCAGCAGGACCAGTTCATATCATCATTAGCATTAAGCAGAGTGATGTTTGTATTTCACCTGAATCAAGCATTTTAAAATACACGAGAAAAAAAAAAAAAACTCTACAATACTGTGAATGTAAATTACACTGCTGCAATTTGATTGTTCTATATTTTACTATATATGAATGAATAATGTGATATAGCTACTATTTAGACCATAGTTTATGCTACATTAAGTACCATATATTTAATATTCTGTCTGATTCACCTCAGATTTGCCATCTCATCTCCGCTTGGCATCCTACTCATTCCTGGACTGTTGTCAGAATTAATGAAGATGTTGAAAGAACTGAGCTGGACAAACAACTGTGTCTACAAATGAACTAATTTTAAACACGCCAGTCACAGACAGTATGTCTGATAACTACCCAGCCAAACTATTAGCACTCATTTATCTACACCGAGTCACTTTATATCCAGTACTAGACACTTAGCAGTACGTACCAAGCATCTTCAAAGCATTAATAAACCTAATAGCGATTTATATGAGACCCAGTGGCTTTAAGAATTCCATGGCCATACTGATGGAAACCTGAGGATAATATAATAACTTGATGCAATTACTGCAACCAACCTCGAAAAAAAAATTAAGAACAAAAACATCTATTAGCCCAATGGCAGTATTTTGATCTAGCCATCATGCATCAATCAAAGCCCCCCACAAAACACTCTAGAAAGCATTCCAAGATGACAACCATGCAAAATTAGAACATGTTGAAACTACTGACCATGCCAGTTATATCAAACACAAATTAATCTCCCTCAAAATGCTTAGCATTTGTCAGAAACTCAGATCATTTTTTTCTTGTGATGGTGCCTCCACTATTACAAAAGCATCAGCATACATACAAAAAAGTACAGTTGGAAAAGGAATTAAACTTGTCACCAAGCCCTGGATGACATAGGATGCAGGTTTCAGCCAACTGTCACTACACCTACAGATTTCACTGCATGAAATAACCCGGAGTTCTCTGTATAGTGGGAATACCTGCATACAATTGGGTTTCCACTGAATATAATTAGAAACCAGAAAATGAAATGTGTAAGTGTAGGTTATCAAGACTCCCTATTGACAAAAGAGGCTATTGCACTGTTAACCTTGAGCAGTCGGTGTGTGGTAATCAATATTGATGAAATGGAGTAAAGACAAAGTAACACAATGTACATTATTATAAAGGATTGCCCCCAACTCTCCAAATCAACAGGGCTGTGGACAGGCAGGAGAAATCCTGACCCTGCAAAGATCTGTGGCCAAGAATAGATCACATACTGTACATATTAACGCATGCAAACACGGATGTGAATAAACAAGGGATTGTACTTTATCCAAAGAAGAATGGATGACAGCTGTACAGCAATTTCAAAAACGCCAGTTAAAGGCGAATTTTCCACTTCTTCTGACATTGTCGCCATCCACCTGCTAAGATCCACCCCTTTCTGCGCAGCACTCTGCACGGCAAGAACAGCTGTCAGTCATAATATGCCTCAAGACTCTTCTCCTATCCGATTAGACAAGGATGAATGTGCCACTCTGTTAAGCCTCAATGTAATTCAATGAAGCATGAAAACTTGCGTACCGTGCAACTTAACACGTTGTTACAGTGCATGCTTTTGTGTTGCAGGCCGTAGCAAGCCAAGAACTGTCAGCTGACTGAGCTGCGCAGCGCAGGCCAGGTATTAGCAACGCATGTTACTGCGCTAGCTCGGTTAGCTAGCAGCGCGATTAGCTAATACATGACAGAGTGAATGAACGTTCATCCCGCGTCCAATAATCGAACTATCGACCACATACCAACTGAAAACAACTGAATCAATACTTCTCTGCCCCAAAAATACTGCATCCATTATACAGCTGGGTCATAACTTAACTTATAGGTCAATGATTACTCAGCAAACTACTTAATGAGCTTGCTTGTTACGATGGCTAAGCTAGCGTTAGCTGCAGTGGAGGTTGGCTAACGATAAGTGTACATACTCACCTGGCTGTACCGTTACTGTCTTCGAGTTATTCGGTGCAAGTGCTGCCATATGTGCTGTTTGTAAGACTGTTTTTGTTTGATAGGATCACCTAACAGTTAAACACTATCAAAAGTGATTATGCAAATAGTAAAAGTCAAAGCCAAGTTGAAACTTGGTAACGTTAGCTTAAAATATGTCTTGTTTGGGTCCAATTTAACTGTTGCTTAATGAATACAGCTCATAACGCAGAGGGGGGCGTACTGTGCTAACAGGTCTCCAAAGAGCAGTAGTCGCTTAGCCAGTTAGCTTGCTAGCTAAAGAAGGCCTCACTCACCATGCCGCCTGTCCCTCCCTCGCTCCCCAGCGGAGCCTCGTCCTTCCCACCGGTCTTCGGTCCCGGATCAGCCTCCTCCTGCAGCAGTGGCGGCTCTCCGCTCTGGTCTGAACTCATCAGCCGCTCCTGACTCACTTCAACCCCGTCGTGTTCTCCCAGCCCCCGCCTGCCACCACCTTCCCTTTGCGGCATGTTGAGCAGTCAGTCTAGTTCTCTCCTGTTCGACTGGATTGATCAGCAACACTAAAACTAGCTTACCAGCTAGCTAGCCGGCTAGCACGTATGCTAACAGACTGAGACTTAGCGTGCTATGAATCAACGAAGCGGGTTAACGACAGCTAGCTCAATGAATCAAACTCACACGCTAAGATACTAATGATTAAAGCGATACCAAACCATTATTCTTCTTAGACCACCGTCCCCGCTGGCGTTTCATCAAATATTTCACCACACACCGCTTTAGTGAAGCGCATTCCTAAACGGGAGACCGAAGCGGACACTGGGGACACGCACCTATCCTCAGCGCATGAACACAGTCCGCCGACGTCCCAGCTACCACCGCGAGTTCTCGTTGACCTCAGTAAAACAAAACATTTCCGTTTCCGGATACACACTTAGTACAATATTTATGTGCAGAGCATTATCCTGGCGTGTTTTGACCATAAGAGTACATTTATGCAGATTATTCTATGTATGTTTTTTGTTGTATTAATAAAGATAAAAGGTAAATTCACCTTGTTTTATTATAACGTTATGTCATGCAAAAAGAAATTTAAACCAGCCTATGAAGTTGCAGTGTAGGGGAATGTGGGGACAACGTTAACGTTAGCGTTAACACTTTTTATTCTAATACCAATGCACCCACATCAGTCATATTTCAGCATGTCAAGATTGCATACGTATGAGAATGTATTAGCTACAAGTTGGCATACTGTATATAAAAGGTAGCCTACAACTTTGTTTTTGACATGCTAGATGTTATATTTGACCCTGCAGGTTGGTGTTATTTGCAACATAGTATAGGGTCAAAGGAAAGGCATCATAAAAAAAAGAAAATGCGTTGTAAAAACATAATGTTATTGAAGTAAAAGTATTACTCAACAGACACCTATGTGTATAATGGAACCTGCAGTTTATGTCATAGTCTATTGATCTGACCTCTTTTATACTTAGACCATAATTGAGATCCGATGATTTGAAGTATGCACTGACAAATTGTCTTAATAGATTATCAGTGTAGTAGGAACATGACTCCACAGTTAGTGCTCTGTTTCAAAATAAAGAAAACATGTTTGTGGATCATGAATAATTCAGTGACTGAGGTTTTCACTGAAAATCACAAGTATCATGACATGTTTGATCTGCTGATTCCAGCAAGACTAGTTCCCTTTGCTATAGGGAGAAATCCCAAAACCTAGAAAATTTTCACTGACAAATGTTTTATTTTGGTGACAGGTTTTACAGGCTCACAACTAAACACCATAATCTCAGTTTCAGGGAAACTGCACAAAAGAATAATAAATCTGGCTGCAGCACATCCATATGTTTGGCTCAGAACAATTATTACAATACGGCTGTCACATAGATTTCATATCGAGTCTGCCCCCGTCTTTACATGCTCACGGCTGCAGCTGTCTGCATGAACAGGAATAAACAGGTGGATGGATGGCCACACTCAGAACGCTATCAGCCTAGTGGTTTTCCCATGACTGTATTCCACATACAGCTGTTTCCTAAATGTCCACGGTTCTGCAGAATTTCCTCCATTTAAAAAGAACCATCAACATTTTTCATACATCTTTATTTATTTGCCATTAAATATATATTCAATGTGTTTATTGTTCTTGTTCTTCAGTTTCTTCTGCAAAATTAATTAAGCTAAGAGCTAAGACGCCTCTTTTATCAAGGCATGTTGACAGGTAGTTGGACCAATAAATGGTTTGTAATAAAACAGAAACATTTTCCTGCTCTGTCCAGTCTGAGCCTATTTCCCAAGCGGACTCCTCTTCTTTATCACATGTTCCATGTCAGCGCATTCGGACGTGTCTAGCTTGATGTCATACTTGGCCAGGATCTTCATGATGGGTCTGATCTTCAGCCACCACTGTGTCTTTGGGATGCGATGCCTGCCGCAGCCAAATGGATCAGTCAAACTCACCACATTTGTTACTTGTAGTACAGTATATCACATGGAAAATATTAATCTTACTCAAAATCTGTGTCTTCCTTCAGTTCATTGAGAGGCTGGAAGGTGAGTGCCCTCTTCCTCATGCCCAGCAAACAGGCGGAGTCTGGAGAGTTAGCGAATATACGACCTGAATGACACAGGAAGTAAAACAGTTCAGTTAAAGCACTATGTTAATGCTCACTATCATCCACCACCAAGAATTAATAATGCCTGTTGACAGTGGTGGAAGAAGTAATCAGAGCCTTTCTTTGATTAAAAGCAGTACCACAAGTATTATCCAAAGTACTTGTTATTCAGAAAAATGTCCCCTGAGAGGGTTATGTGTTATTTGATTAATATTAATATTAATGTGCAAGGATAATTGACAGATGTAGATTTGTTAGGCACAGCAGATTCTACTTCATCAACTATTGGGTCTGATGCAACAATGCACCATATTTTTTAAGTTGCTGATATTGTGTCTATAAGATCTTATAGCTGTCAGATACATGTAACAGAGTAAAAATAACCTCTGAAAATGCAGTTAAGTATAAAGTAGCATAAAATGGAAAAGTGCAAATGGGTACACTTATTACATTAAAAAAAAGTATAGGCAGGGCCTGCAGTACCTAGTAAATGTACTTAGTTGTAATTCATCACTCCCTGTTGGTATTATATAAATAGTCAAAATGTGCATGTACCGTGCCTGTAGCACTGCTTGAGCTTCTCAGTCAGCCATAGAACAGCCTTGGCACCCATCTTAGAGGCAAAGTTTCTGTCAAAGGGTGTTGGAGTGCCACCCTGCAGACCCATAGAGGACAGACAAGTTTATCAGCAATTCCACTGTAATGTAGAGGTGTGTTGGAATGGTTTTTACACTGCATCACATGAGCCAACCTGCTGCATGTGTCCAAGGACATTCTTACGGCAGTCAAAGACGCCTTTTCCCTCCTCTGAGTACAGGTTGAAGATAAAGTCGGTGGTGTACTGGGCATTACAGTTTTCATTCCTATTGTAGAATGAATAAGGACCGATTATTGCACTGTGTTCTTCAAAGACACAGACTCATAGCTGCTTTACATGTTTGGCCCAGATGGCTCAGTACCCGGACACATATCAGCTGTAAAATCTCAGTTTTATACTTGCTATGCTTATTGTTAAATACTGTCATACACGTTATATAAAACCTTTTTCTAGTTACCCACCCAACACGACGTCAAAAAGTCTCTTTATGGTCTTAATCCTGTTTTGACCAATTAGGAAGTTCCTGCTTTTTGTCTGTGTAGGGTTGTAAAACTCACTTCACTGATACACTTCTGGGTCACACATGAACAAAACCTACCTGAGAACCAAACCTCTCTTCACTGTTGTCTTCATCTTCTCCACAAGATGCTCTACGTTTATCTGTAGGCCCAATCCACACATCACCCACTCAGAACGCATCAAGCTACAAAAAGTCTAAAAGGTGAAAACCAGTGCCTTGAAAAGAAAACCAAAGAATCCCACCCACTTCACATCAATGGTTTTCTTTTCAAGGCACAAGCTTTTAATTCTATGTACTTTATAGCGCACGAGAACTTTTTTGATATTATGACCTAAAAATTGGAAACTAGATAAACAAGTCATGTTCCTTCATGACTAGCTCACCTGCAGGTCTTTAATGGTGAATTTTTCTTCAAAGATGTAGGCAGCATCAGCCCCAGCAGCTAGACCGGCCATGGTGGCTAAGTAACCACAGTACCCGCCCATAGTTTCAACAATAAACACACGGCGCTTGGTCCCTGCTGAGGACTGCTTGATTCTGTCACAGGTCTGTACAGAAACATACAAAGTGTGTATTTAGCTCATGACTGTTTAATGTACTGCATGTGTGTGTATCTGTTGTTACGGAACTGACAGAGGTGATGGTGTTAAGGGCGGTGTCAGCACCGATGCTGAACTCGGAGCCGGGGACGTTGTTGGAGACGGTAGCAGGGATAACCACCATGGGAATGCACATCTCCTCATACTTCTCTCTGGCTTGAACCAGCTCCAGACCCCCCATATAGGCCTGCAGCGAGGGAGAAGATGAAGATTAATTTGTTTATGTGGTTCTAAAAAAAGAGCAACGCTGTCAAGCTTTCATATTACTGGTTAATTTATCCTTGACCAGCCAAGATGAGGTTTAGTCTGTTATGTCTTACCTCAAATCCACCAATCATCACCAAAGCATGGATGTTGAACTTGGCAAGGTTCTGGCTGATGTCCTGTAATATTTTAGCTGGCAGAGTTCTTTAGGAAGCAGGAGCAAATAACACAGTGAAAAGCTTTGTTGTTTTATGAGAAATGCCAGTGTCTCTTTACAGTACAGCTGTACTACTGAAAAAAGATTCACGTACCTCTTGGTGCCCAGTGCTGAGCCTCCTTTTCCAGTCCAGCCACTCACTGAAGTCCAGGTGACAGGTTCGATCTGCATGGAGAGAAAATGTTAAAAACCAAAACATATATGACTACTGGAGAACAGAGACAACACAAAAACTGACTTACGGTGTATATAATACACAGCTAAATTTTACATTCTAGTGTTATTCTGAGAATCTGTTTTTTTTTTTTTTTCAAGCAAAGCAACAGATTTGTGTTGGTGCTTGATCATTTCAAGGAGAAGGACTGCACACAGGCCTGCTCTGTTTTCTTTATTCAGGTCATGTGGGGTCAAACAGAAATAATGAGTAGAAAAACACTTGGTATACATTTTCAAACATGATGGAGTTTTACCCTATTGGATAATGACACCCTTCAGTAATCGAATCATTATCTGTGCCATCAGTGCAAAGGAACATAATAATAATGCATGTGTTCCTATGGGAACAAGTAACATAGTATTGCAGCTCCATGACGTGTTGCCATTTATAAAGAACTTTACATTTGGGTTCATAACTCTTGATTTGTAATTGTAATTAAAAAAAAATTTCCCTGGATTTCTTGTTGACACAGCTGAATTTTTACAAGTCATTTTAAAATGTTGTCGAATCTTAACAAAAGTAGTTCAGAGCAAAGGGGATAAATGTACTGTTACCTGTCCGTGAGCCAGACCGTCAAATCCGTCGTGAACAGCCAGCATGGTGTGACCCTGGATGATTCCCATCCTGACTACTGCACGGACCGCAGCATTCATGCCAGCACACGGGGCTCCAATGTTCATGATGGCCACATTGATGTTACTCTGACAGCAGGAGAGAGGGATACTGGTGTAGACATTTAACTCAACGGTTCCTTTCCCATTACAATTCATGTTTATTAACAGTAGCAAAAGTGTGGATGATCCTCACCTTAACATCTGGGGGACTAATGTGAGCCAGCAGCTTGTATGTGTCCCAGTTGTTCTCAAAACTCCTGTGCATTATTAATACAGGTGAGTGTTGGTTGGTCACAGATACTTTTTCTATTTAAATATCAGTGGTGATAATAATCGCTATCAGTCACAACAGTGATGCTTTTTATGATGTTTCTGTTGCTGTGCTTTATTTACTTTGTTCTATGTTTTTACTGTAGCCTGTGTCGTTTTCTTTGTTCACTGCATTGAGACTGTTGCACTGTGAAGCCTGGAGTGTGCCACTGAAATCATCAGACTGTTAGTGTCTATATTATACTATGCTTTTCTCCTTCAGTGAATCAGTGTGAAAACAGCCTCCTAGTGTCAAATATCAGGTGAAGTAACAACATGCAAAATGCATTTTTAGTGGAGGACGTTAAATAATTTTACACACTGTAAAAAATAAACATAGTAAATATCAATAATTATTCCACCGGCACACTCCAGGTTCTGTAGTACTACATGTTAAACAAAGTCTGATGGATCAGTTCCCCATTGTGGGATCAATAAAGTCCTACCAGTTCAGTTGTTCATTGCTATTACACTCTGTTACATTCAAGAGGAACGTACTTACCTTCCTCTGAGCTTGATAGCATCCTCAAATCTGCCCTCAGCCATGGCAGCAGTCACATCTTTGGTCTGTAAAGGAAAAAGAGCGTTAGAGTGAGAAAGAGAGAAACCCGCCTCTGTAACATCAGTGCACATCCTCCAAAACAAGTAGATCTGCATGCTAAAATGCACAGAAATTGTGCTGGGGTGAAAATATTTTGGCGTACCACTTGCACACACTCCATGAGTGGCAGTCTGACTGCCTGGTTCCCAGACAGGCTGACCACACAGGCAGGAGTGTCCGGAGTAGCCTCCAGCAGTGCCATCACTGCCTCCACACCCATCCTGCTTCCCTGGACCATGCACACACACAGTCAGATCATCAGGAGCATGAATGAGGAATGGTGAGGAACTGTACACTGTCCTTCATAATAGGTGTTTTACCAAAATGCATACCAAGATTCTGTCAAAGGCGGAGGGTGTGCCACCTCTCTGTACATGTCCAAGAACAGTAGTGCGAGTGTCAAAGCCGAGCCTGTCAGTCACCAGCTGAGGACAAATTAGTCACTATGTTAGTATGTCACATTGTGTCTGCTGCTACTTTCCTCTGACTGACATCATGGGGAAGGGCTTGCCTTTTTGATCTGGTCAGATGTGATTGGTTTACCATCTCTGGAAATTGCACCTTCAGCCACAATGATCACATTCAGACGAGAACCTCGGGCCCTTTGCTAAAAAAATTAATCAAAGGAAATAAAAATGTATTTGTACAATTGATGTGGAATGAGACAGTATCGCAAGCATCTCCATCTGCAAACAAAGACACACTAACATCTGCAAGCCTCCTGCACAAATGGTCCTCCCAGCCGTCATCTGGTGGCATCTCTGGAATGAACATCCAGTCGGCACCACAGGACAGAGCTGTCACCAGGGCCAGGTACCTGCAGACAAACACACACACACACATTTTAAACAGATTTTGCCATTAGTTTGCTCCTTGCTAGTTAGTATTAGGGCGGTGATAGGAAATAAGTAGAAACAGAGGAGGGATGACATGCACCAAAGGTCCCATGCTGAAGTTGAACATCGCCAGCATTTCAAGCCACTTGGCCACCAGGACACACCCTGTTATTAAAATTTCTATACTGAGTGGAATTGTGTTTAAAAGAAAAAAGTTTGATGCTTCTCTACATAAGCACAAAAGACATTTTATTAGAAATAAATTACTGTGAATGTGAATAAATGAATTTTAAGGGCATTTACTGTTAAATGCTGAAAACTACTTCATTTTATTAGAGGTGAACAGACTGCATTTGATTGAGACCAAAAATATATTCAAAAAGGTGGAAATATTTTCAGTTTTAGACCAGCAAGGTTGCATGTTTACTTCACACAGATTTGTGTGTCAGTGCACAACACACATAAACAGACCAGCACACAAGGTACTGACCCACAGTGTCTGCCCATCACTTCCAGTATGAACGTCCTCTGGTGGCTGTGGATGAACACAGAGCATTTTACACAAAGTAGAAAGTAACCATAATTTATTTACCCTATTTTATAAGGATTCGAAAAACCCATCGAGCCTGGACCATTTATTACTTTGCATCAGACATGTGATGCTTCAAACTTCATAATTTAATGATGTTCTACTTGTACAAGGGTACAAACTCATTCTTTGCTGCTATAGTGTGCTGTAATTTCACCTTTTTGGTTTCATTAAATCAATCTTAATTATCACTAGTCACCTATGTGCAGTTGTGGTGATGGCATCCACCACCTCAATGATGCGGTGCAGGGCAGAATCAGTGCCAATGGTCATGTCAGTGCCACAGAAGTCGTTGTCGATGGAGCCAACCATGCCAACAATGTTCAGGTGGGAAGATTTCTTAGCTTCTTCTTCTGTAATCTTACCTGCAAAAAAGGAAAAAACAATACAAGTAAATATCATTTGTTTATGAGGGAATTGTGTTACAATAATATTGAAGCGCTGTTAGGTTATTTCCCATTCTCATGCTGATGATATCACCGGGAGGAACTAGGAGTTCAGTATCTTGCTCAAGGACACTTTGACATGTGGACTGGAGAAGCTGGGAATCAAACCACCAACCCTCCACTCTACCTCCTAATCCACAGCCTTATCTGTACATTATCTGTAAGGCAGCACACTTTGTGCAATAAAATGTCTTTTTTGTTGTAATACAATTTTGTTTTAGGTCAAAGAAATAGTGATACATATTGTATGTCACCAGCTGTAACCGTTATTTGGGTTTGTGTGATCTGCGTGACAACATTTTCTTGGCGGGAGCAAATGTCATCAGTGCTTTGCAGCTGAGCTGAGGGATTTTACAGATTCATTATTTTTGCAGCCATTTTGTTTGTGTGTTTACCCGCTCGGACCAGGTCAACCAGCAGTCCACTCCAGTCGGTCCTGAACTGGTTGGCTCCTGTCAGACTGCCATCACCTCCGATCACACACAGGTTGGTGATGCCCAGCTTTACCAGGTTGCAGGCTGCCTTCAAACGACCCTCCCTGGTCCTGAAGTCCTTGCAGCGGGCGCTGCCAATGAGAGTACCTCCCTAACACATGAAGAAGAGAGGATGTTTTTAATACATAAACATTTGGCTTTAAAGGAAGACTGTAGTAATGTTCTGATTTACCAGATAGTGATCCATAACAGATCTCAAACATGAAATCTTAAAAGATACCACCAGTCATTTTCTATATTAACAGTATTTTAAACACTTCCCATACAACAGACCAACAGTGAACTGGCTCTACTCATGGTTAATGTCTCCAGTCTGAATTAGCTTATTCATCTGTGCCATAGACGTCCATTGCTATTCAAATACAAACAAGGTTAAACTGTTGGAGGGTTAAAGTTGGAGCTACATTTTAAAAATATGATCGGGGTCTTGTGTTTTATGTCAAGGAAATAAGTCACCCAGTGCAGTGGTGCGTTTCCCTGATGTGCTTTTAATCTTTTATGAACATCAGTGGATGTCTATAGCACAGATGATTAAGCTCAACCAGGACTGACAGACATTAACAGCGAGTAAAGGCAACTAGTTTCTGGTTTTTGTCTCTGTATGGGGAGTGTTGAAAATACTGTTAAAACAGAAAATGACTGGCCTTATGCTATTTCTAGCTTTATAACTTCTCAGACAGATGCCTTATAACAACATAAAGTGAGGTTACATCATGTTTTGACCAAAGAAGGTGGCCAAGGTGACACCCCAGGCATTTGTTGTGACTCATGCTCACCCCATTGCTCATTTTCTCAATCCATTCACTTCATGAATCTTAGCAGGTCATACCTTCTCCACTGCCAGCTGCTTTATTTAGACAAGAGATGCCAGAGATGGTAGAATGGACACTAGATCACAAGCTTTAATGTATTATTGCATCTTCATCGCCCTTCGGTCTCAGGGCCAGAGCAGTGATTTGATATTGCCACTTAAAATTAGGTTTCTCATGTAATCAGAGCTTGTGCGACACCCAGGAGAGGCTTGTTTATTAAAAGGTTAAAGGGCCATTTTACCCAAATTTCACTATTACAGCCTCTCACTTACTAGTCATAGTTCAGGCAGCTTCACTTTATCTGGACAAGTTTTGAGAGATGTACCTTCTGCATCTGTAATTAACTTATGGTGAGCAGATTTTTTTGCTGTATCAATATTGAAGAAAAAAAATATTCATGAGTTTAAGTGTGTGTCTTTCTCCAGCCGTACTGTGGAGTCTGTGCTTGGGCACAGTGACGCTATTAGTTGAGTTCATAGCAAAAAGGTTTACCTGTTAGTCTGGACAATCCACAGACCTCAGAACTTTCACATAAAAAAATAGTTGACAGTGAATTCTGTGGAGTACCCAGACTTTAAATTTTCACTGCTTTGAGCACCACAAACAAAACTGTACTGCAGTAATTTCAAGATATCTCAAAGCCTGGACATCTTAAACCACAGTAAGAGTAGGAGGTGATAAGCAGCTCAGTGAAATCCTTTTATAACTTAACTCACTAAAGGTCTCTTCTCTTTTTTTGCTTGTTCCATCATTACTGACAGGTAGAGTTTGTGTATATCACTGTGTCTGTTAATGTCAGTTCTTGTAAGGATGTAATGATATGTCAAGAAGTATGGATTAGTCTCAGTGATGTCTGTTAGAAATTAAACCTCTTTGCATGGCAGGGCATCAGTAATGTTTTGTTTAGGGTTTTTGTTATTTGGGTGAAGCAGCCCTTTAATAAAATGGCACAAGTGTATTTCACCTGTCATCCACCATCTACAGTACAAGAACAGTGTAGCGTATGGCTCTTGTGGGCAGATTGAATAGTGTGTTTCAGTGTGTGTTTATTTGGCTACACGTCTCTCACCAGCTGAAGCATCATGGACACACTCTCCCACGTGGCGGGGCGAATGTTGTCTCCTCCATCCACCAGGCCCTGGTAGCCCTGCAGCCATTGGTGTGAAGTAACTAAATACGTTTATATAAGTACAAGTTTGCAGCATGTTATACTGTGGTTGAATTAAGATGCTTTTATGCCTAATGTACTGGTTTAAACCTGCACTGCAACAAAACACAGATTTCGTTCTAAAAAAAAAAAAGAGCTCATGCCTTGTATTAATTTGCGATATTTGAGCTTTGGCTTTAGCCTGTGTGCAGTCAGTACCTCATGAACAAAGTAGACTTTGGCTCCAGTGTAGAGACCGACTCTGACTGTGGCTCTCACAGCAGCGTTCATACCTGAGATACACAATTTGAACACGCTATAAGAAGACAGTGTCAGATACTACATTACACTTCTTGTCACAAGGCTTTTCATAAGTGTCTTCAGTTGTACATTGGCAACAGATGAGAAAAATAACTGCAGGGAGATGACAGGAGCTGAGGTTAAGGGACTGCATGTGTAACATACAATCTCATCCCTTGATGTACTCTACACTGTGAGGTTGTGTTGCAGTACGCTGGCATGTTGCAGCTCTTGTTTCACTAGACAACAGCTGTGAATGAGGGGCCCTTTCTCTCATACATACCAGAAAAAGGTCACTGCCCCTAAATTTAGCCTAAAAAATGTGAAATAAGGGTATGAACAAGGGGGACAAAGGGCAAATAAAGCCTCCATGCAAAGGTTTGGAGAGAAAGACTGATAATACAACTTGTCACACTCAGCTTCAGCTAAAGTTAAGGGCGTAATTATGGTCAAATTCTAAGATAAACCAAAGGAAAACACAGTTTCTATGCATTGTATCACAAGGTACTCTTATAAAACTTGATTTATGATGTTTCTAATTTTAACCTGCCAGCATTTTAAGCAGCTGTGAGAACCTACGGGCTCTGTTTGGCATATGTAAGCAGCTTTGCTAGATTTACATCAGCCCAGGTGGTGTGAATCCATGACGTAATTCCTACTACACTCATGACTTCAAACAAGACCTGCAAACAAACACGCATCAGTCTCCAACTCTGCCACTCTGACATTTTGGGAAAATTTTGTTTGCCATCTTCTGTTCCTTGGCTCTTACTTTGGATGTCTCAGCATTTATGTGACACTTTATTGGCCCCCAAAAGAGAGAGGCCAGTGCTTCTACAGCCGATTCAGTGTTGTGCTCAGACAAACATCACGTGAGAAGATGCTGGCCAGTGGCTGCCCCCATTTCTTGAGTCATTTTAAACAATTCAAAATAAAGCAGTGATAACAGTGTTGAGAATCATCTTCTGCTTACCTTGGGCATCTCCTCCTGATGTCAGCACGGCGATGGCACGTCCGACTCCCATCTTTGTGGGGTCGGTGGCTGGCTGGAGATTTCTGGACATGTTTCCAAATGGAGGAGACAGGTGGGCACAATGAAGGGGAAAAGGAGAAAGAACAGAGCGTGGCTGCTCTTTCTTCACTGTCTGCTTCTCAGGGAAGGCAAGAATGAAGGCACAGACTTTATAGACAGCTGTTCCTGATCCTGCCCCAAACCCCCTCCTATTGACACCCTCCACCACTCACTCACACAACTCCAGTAAATATGCATCAGGCTCTGTAACCACCTGCAGTGAACAGCTACAGACATGGAAACACAATGGACTTAGACTTAATCTGAATGCATTTCTAATTATTTGAGTACCGGGAAAAAAATACATGTGTCAATTAATAGACAAGTCAACAAAAGTTGTGAATCTAAAAACAAGTTATTTTCTTATGTTTCATGCAATCAAGATCATCTTTGTCACGTTAATGCTGAGGAATTCCTATGAGCAGCACGTTACATGGACTTCAAGGGAAATAACAGTATGTAGTTCTGACAGGAGACTCTGGCTACTAAAAGACAATAGGATCATATTGAGTTTTAAAATAATCATTACATCTGAGTAAATGAATAAAGTCCAAAATTCAATCCAATGTGACATAAGAGAGAAGCTTCAGTAAATTCTGCTATTCAAGAAACAATTTATTGGTATTTTTCCTTAATTATTTACACAACTACTTCATTAACATTTAACAATTCATTTACCATCTATTTACTAATTGACTGAAAAATAAATCAGACTTTTAGTCCCTTCTCTGGCTTCCAATTCATTTTAGAATAGATTAAGTTATTGGTATTTGTTTTTAAGGCACTTAATGGACCAGCCCATTTATAACTTAGTGAATTCCTGCAGTGGCACAAGCAAGTAAGATCCCTTAGGTCCTGAAATCGGTTTCTTTTAGAGGTGCCAAGGGCTACATACAAGCACTGGGGTGCAAAGTTTTTTTTTATTGTGGCTCATGAGCCGATTTCATGTTTTTGATCATGCTTTAATGGCCCCAAAACTGTGGAACAGTTTGCCTGTTAAAACCTAGCAGATCTAATCTTAAGTCACTGTTCAGGGCTTATTTACCCTCCATTGCTTTTGGATCATAGTGAATTTTGACATGTTCTCCCCTTTATTGTGTATTTACATATGTAAAAATAAGGAGAAATAAAGTAACAAGTTGTTTCCAAAGTGCTATAAAAATAAACTTTGATTGGATTCAATATGGGCCAAGCTCCAAAACCAGTGGATCAGCTCCCATCATGCCTGCTAAATGCCCATAGCTTTCAAACTCTTTGCTGACTTTCTGTAACTTAATTTGTGATTTTTAAAAAGTTTTCTGACTTTATAAAGCTGCCGCCAAACCCACAGAAGACACAATTATACAACTGTTATCATAGAATGAGTTGTACCGTTCATGACAACCTTTATGTGCAAAAACAATTTCATGATCTGAAAGGAAAATGGCCAAACAGTAACATATAAGTTTATTATAAACCTTGTACATAATAAAATCCATTATTTACAATTCACTCAACAAAATTCTGTAATGGCCTGAACCATCCTGATCTAGGTATCTGTGCGTACTACAGCTATAACACTGATCGAGTCATCACTAATCCTTTAAAACACTTCTTTTCCCCACTTTAGTGCATTTACACTGCTGAAACCCATTAGTGTCTGTAATAAAAAGAGGCTTCATTTAACAGCCATAACCTTTATTTTAAAGAAATCAACCATACACATTTATAAACGTGTTAAAATGGGTTTCTAAAATGATACTAGTAGAGTTCTTAGAGCTTATGTTAAGGCCGGTAACAACAGTGTTGGACAACATCATCCATTTCCTTAGAGTCTCATCAGTTCACCAGAGAAGGCTTTTCCAAATACCGTATTCACTGTGCGACTCATCGCTCCTGCAGTGCAGAGCTGTGCAAAGAGGAAGGGCCAGACACGAGATCGGAGATGACCGGAACAAATTTCTGGAAAACAAAATGGAAATATGCTTTTTTTTTTTTACCTGTGTGTATTTGTTAATTTTACACACACACACACACACACACACACACACACACACACACACACACAAACTAAATGTGCCAACTTGTAGGTGTGTAATACTATGCATAGTTGTATCATATAGTGTTGTAAATTAGATTTCTTGCTGAGAGTTAAATGAGAAGAGCAATACCACAATATCCACCACATTACTAAATGCTTTTCATTTAATGGTCACATGACATTTCCTCTCGCACCACCTTCACAATAAACCAAACGTGGCACAATTACATCAAGATAGTAACAGTACATCTTCTGTTCAATGCTTTTGTGTTCTGCTGAGTCATGAAAACTGCAGATTCTGGGGGCCACAAGGTTACATACATCTCTTCTTTTTTTTTTTTTTTTTTAGCTTTTCCTTTATGTTAATATGTACTGTGGTATCTCAGATTGCAGCGGCTTGGGTAAAAAAAAAAAAAAAAAAAAAAAAAGAAAATCTGTAGGTTGGACATGTTTTTCCTCTGGTAGCATATTCTAAAGATTTTTCTTTCAGACACAGAGTTGATGAGCACTTGTATGAGCACTTGTAGAACTGTCCATACGTCATGCACACAGTCACCGGTGTACTCACAGTGGACTCTTCAAAGTGCAGGATGGACGCCAGTGGATTTCCACAGCGGGCTCGAGGTGGCACAAACCCGGGTGCCACAGGGACAGACACTGATGTGTAGGTGGCCACCTCTTCATCCAGACGCAGCTCCTCCAGAGGAAGAAGACGCTTACGCAGCAGTGCCGCTGCAGAACTCAGGGCACCACTCTTCTGAACAATGAGGTCTGTCGGGAAAAAAAGTCACATGTAACTAAGTGGCGCAACTGTTAAAGAAAGAGAATATATTCAATGTTGACATTATGTGTAATGTTGTAACCCTTACAAATGGGGGAAAAAAAGGTTTAGGAGACCAATACATTCCAACAGCTGCTGATGAAAAAAATCATTTTGAAGGACTGCACGCTGAACACCATAAAACAAATGAGTCTGAGCATTGCGAGATGCCAGTGTTACCTCTGTGCAGACTCGGAGCGGAAGCTTTAATGTGGCACGTTGCCACAGATGTTATCTCTCCATACATTGGCGGTGTCTTTCTCTGCTCTGATGAAACTGGGCCATGCTGACTCTGATGGGGTGAGCTCTCCTGTTTCTCTAACGGTGTGGCTCTGAACAGCTTTTTGCCCATCGAGAAAATGATCGACTCCCCTTGGAAAAACGGCTGTTGGACCATGATCCTCTGCTCCTGCTCCTCATCCTCGCTGGTGTTTGCCTTGCTCTTGTCTACATTCTCTTCACAGTGAGTTGTAGTCTAGAGGAGTCGGGGAGGAAACAAAACAGCCAACAATTTACAATATCTTAAATATGTAACATAGATCTCTATATGGCATTCTGCATCTTTCAGCTGAGGCTTGAAGTGGGACCTGCTCTGTTTGTGTCACATTCGTGCTCTGCTCCTCCTCTTCATCATCGAATAATCTCTGGACAACCTCCTGCTAACAAACAAAAAAGTCATATGAGCTCAGGAAGTACAGTATGTTCATTTCTGTTTAAAAACAGCAATATTATTCTTTGAATAAAAACTACTCATACTCTACATACACTTTATCCTGGAACTTTACTCAACTTACCTGTACTTTACTCAATTATTAAAAGGTCTCTGTTAATGCAACAGTGATCTGACATCATCACCAGTGACTTGGAAAATGTACAGTATGTCATTTAACTGCTGAAATAGAAAATTCATTTGTTGACATCTTCTACATCCAAAATCTTGGTGAAATCCTTAATTAGCCATCCATCCTCCAACATCAAAAAGCATTTAATTAGAGGAGGTAAACTATGACGGTTAGATGATCTTACTTGCAAACTTTGCCAGCTAATAATAACATTAATATATAAAAGGCAGAGAAACCCCTGATTAAGCAGTTTTACATCTACAGAGAGATTCATATACACTTTCACTTCCTCCCAGTACACAAATGTTGCTCAAAACATTTATCTACCCACCAACAAGTGGCACAGCGGGGATGTGACACTGCTGATGGCTGATAAAGCCTCCCTTAAAACTTCTAAAACGTTGTGTCCATTCAGTATGTCTAAATCGAAAAATGTGATCAAGCCTTTGGCAAAGCTTCCTTCAAGAAGAATGACCTACTCTGGATCTGACTGTGTCTTAAATCTTATCTGTGCATACACATCACGCTTCTATTTTTGACTTTTTATGTAAAGTACTTTGAACAGATATGTAGAAATCTTTGCCTTACGCATTATAAAATGTGGATAGCATAATTTGCTGCTCTCACCTCCTGGTGTGGCCGAGTGTTGATTGTGCGGCTCCTCAGCCCGGGAGTGCTGGCATACAGTGATAGATGCCGTTCCTGAAAAGAGTCGAAGTGACCGTAAGAAACAATGTGCTAAATACGGACATACAGCATGTGTATACTGACCACATCAAACATGGGCTGATGTCTGGTGTTGCAAACTCTCTGTGCAGTCGATTTCTTCAACGGAGTCTCTTTGAGTTCTACTGCTGAGGATAAAACAGCTGCATCAGGTCGTGATAAAAGGACAAACAGATGCAACTGCATTAAGTTTCGCACATAAGATGCCAATAACAATGCTGCACCTTACCCACTCGTCCTGCAGTTGGCTCTGCTTGTGTTTTTCTAACAGGCACCCTCTGAGGCTGAGAGAAAGGAAGCAATGCCGTTTCAAAAGCAGTAGCAATCAAACAAACACAAGGGGGGGAAGTGCCAAAGCAACAACATTCTGAATATATACATACTGTGCAGGCTGAAGAGCCTCTGACTGGCAGACAGACAGAGGGTCGGGGTGTGGCGACTTCTGGGGAGAACTGCACAGACTTCACTGCTCGAGTAAAAGGAGCACAAGGAACAGATTCCACTGACAATGCTGTTGCATTTTTTTTTATTATCCAACTTTACAGAACAAAGTGATACTGGACACTGCTGAGTTTTACTGTAACTTGAATGTTTTTCAGTGTTTAATATCAATTTACTTTCAGATTACTTTGGGTTTTGTCATAGGTTACAAGACTAAATAAGGCATCTTTAAAAATGACTTTGGGCTTTAGTAAATGACAAATGATAAAATTAGAAGAGACTGCCTTTCTAATGTCATCTTTGGACTAAATCATTTTAACTTTTTTATCTGCTGTGATCACATACTGTATATTAGAGTACATACAGTCTTCTGCTAACCTGTAGAAGGTCCGGCTTTTTGTCGACTCTTCATGACAGACACTCGCTGGGGCTGTAAACAAGAAAACCACCATCAGATACAAAGATGTTTATTGGACTCATCATCATGACACCAACATTAAAATAGTTATGCACAGGAAT